CATCTCTGTACACACAGATCGATATGCATACATAATACATACATATCTAGATATGGATTACCTTCCCTATTCACATAGCCTATCATGAAAATGTCATGTCATTAAATATTCTTAAGAAACAAAATTTTAATGTATAAATGTACCATACTTTTTAAACCTCTTCTCAGCAGATGAACTTTCACATTGTCTTTCATAGGGACATAATCACTGGTTATTCCAATCTAGAAAGTTTTCTCTGGGGAACACATTAACATACTAAAGTTATAGAGGGTCATAGAAGGATGAGAAAAATGGAATCTAGTCATAGCATTCCAACGCGTTCATTTATATCTATATTTTCAACTTATTTCCCAACCCCCAAAATGCTAGGTGAACAAGTTAATTAGAATTATAGAGTTTGTCTATAAATATGGAAAGGCTAGAAGCCAGGTATAGAAAGTCCTTATATACATACAGATGTGTGAGCCCATCAGAGAACCATTCCTTCCAGTTACAACTTTAAGCAATCGAATGTAAAACATATTTTTGGAAAGCTAGTATATGAATTTATAACCTCAGAGTCGGCATTCTGTTAGATATGGCCCAAGTCCCTCATCTCCAAAGAGAAGTATGCAAGACAACCCACTGGCCCACAGAAAAAGATAGAACTTGTATTTGCAATCATTTTATTATTAAATTTTCTACTTTATCTTTCCACTATATATTTTTAAAAATGTAAAACATTCATGCACTAGCACACATAAATAATTCACACATATATATGCATTGCAGGCACATGCTAAATTTTTAAACCAATAGGGTGATCAATCAAAACAGTATGGACATTACCACTTTAGATTCTGTAATTAGGGAGCTTATAGAGTATTTGGGGCTAGAAACCTATGAAGAAGGGGCGAAGCATCAGTTTGGTCCATACTCTGCCTAAGTGTGGGAAGCACTGGGAAGGCAAACATTGCCCCAAGTTTGGTCAAACCTAGAATATAGGTGATTGGAACTGGGAAGGTAATAGAGCCAAAAGGTTGAAGTTGTGGGAAAAGCCAGCATCCAGCAGGGCGTGATGAATTACAATAAGGCAGGTGCCACTTTATGGAACACTTACAGATGTGGCCTAAGAGGTCAAAGCAAAGGGAGCCTAATGAGTCTAGGACACCTGAGGAAGGACTGAGGTAGGGGAAAACCTAGAAGCCTCCCAAGAACATAAGTTTAACCTGCCCATTAGCCTAGCATCCCTAACTAGTAGATCTGTGCAGTAAAGGACTATGGAACAGATCAGTTTCAATAGGCAGTGGTAGAGGGAGGCCTGGGGTGTGGATGAAAGTTCTAGAAGCCTGAAAATGAATCTTTTTTTTAAAGATTTTATTTATTTATTTGACAGAGAGAGACACAGCGAGAGAGGGAACACAAGCAGGGGGAGCGGCAGGGAGAGGAAGAAGCAGGCTTCCCTTGGAGGAGGGAGCCCGATGCGGGGCTCGATCCCAGGATCCTGGGATCATGACCCGAGCTGAAGGCAGATGCTTAACAACTGAGCCACCCAGGTGCCCCTGAAAATGAATCTTGAAAGACATACCACCCTGACATCAACTTTTCCCCCTGGTTTTGCAAAGAGGCAATTCTGCCTCAACAACATAGCTGATCCCTGGCTAATTCCGGCCTATCTAGATATTATATGATAAAGGCTATTCTTTAAAAAACCAAGTCTTTTGTCTCCTTCAAATGAAAAAGAAATGTACAGTAAGATTTTAGAAAAAGCAAATTGGAGTCATTTTAGCTTATACATATCTTTAATTGTGTGACTCCGAGTTTATGTAAACCATAAACAACAAATTCTTGTTCTCTGCACATTTTGAAAATTCGATTCCATTTCAAGTTTAAAATATCCCTTTCCCGATGCATTTTGTAAGTTAGATGGCCATAACTCCTAATGTGGCCCTGATCCATCCGTATGCAATGGTGAAGGCTATAGGTATTACTAAGAACACAATAACACAGCAGAGGATGTACGTTGACCACTGAAGGTGAAGTTGAAGGCAGCAGTCAACACCTCCATGAGAAGAGGGAGTTTCCCATGAGCCCCAGCACTGATAAAACTAAGGAAACCATGGGGAAGTGACACACAGGATCACGAAGACCTCTCCAGAAAGAGGGGGCACCAAAGTCCTGCCCATCCCACCCCATAGAAAGGAGACAATAGACAGGAGTTTTCTCAAGAAAGGCAGGCTGTACCCCCATTTTGACGAGGCATCTGCTCATACATTCTCCTTAGTGGGGATGTGAACAGGTGGAAGCCAGGAACTGTTTCCGAAGGCTTTTTTTTTCTTTTTTTCCAAATGTGCGAGGCTCTCTCTGAATTCTGACTGAACTTGCCCCACGTCCCCTCAAACTATGTTCTCTCAGCTCAAAGGTTTGACAACACCAAGTAACCAGAGCTATCCAAACATCCTACTTTGGAAACCACCTTCTGAGACAGTCCACAATGCTAGCTTGTTTGGACTCTTCTACCCCTAACCCCCAAACACACACACACACACACACACACACTCACTCACACACACACCGGAAGAGCCAGCAACATTCACCTTTCTCCTTAAGCCAACCCTCCTTTCCTACCCTACCATTCAAATGCCAACTTGACTTAGACTCAACTTCTAGGTTTGGGATTGTTACCTTTCCTTAATCCCATAACAGCTGCCTCTCAGTGGTCAAGCTAAATCCATTTAGCTTATGTCTGACTTGTGGATCTTCTGGGGTGGAAAATTTTTTAAAATAATTCTTATTCTTCAGAATAACCGGTAATAATGAGAAAGACTAATGGGCATTCATAAGCTGTTCTAAGACATACTTCCTGTTCTATGCATTATTCATTTATGCAAACTATTGTAAAGGTACCAAATTCACTGTGCATCTGGGCTGGAAAGGTCCCTGGACTCAAGATTACATTGGTATGCACATTTCTGAGGCTTGGTTCTGTTTAACATTTTCATCATGACCTGCTTAAAGGAGCAGAGAGCAAACTCATTAAATTCCTAGATGGGAGGGATGGCCAGAACATTAGAGAACAGGATTAGAATTTCCCCAGCTCTTGCCAAATTAGCAAAACTGTCAGAGTCAAATATGTTCATTGGGGCTGGGCAGGGAAAAGTAGGATGCCCAACTGTGAGCTGAGTAGTAGCAGCTTATTTAGGAACAGACCTGAAAGAATAGAGATGCAAACATAGACGCGTAGCAGGAAATACTTACCCAGTGGAACCACTCGTGTTCTCCGGGGCCTTTGCACCCCTCTTAAAATGGATTGTGGAAGCATAAAGACCCCTCCCTACCTGCAAAACTTCTAAGAATTTCTGTGAGCTTTTCTTTCTCAAGGCACCTCTAGCTTCAGATTCCTTATATCATGTAATTAGCCTGCTTTATGGTTCATTTCACCATCCTGCTCTGGTCTGGTCACTCTGTAACAAACCATGTCACCATACAACAGACACAAAAACCATTTCCCTACTGTGAGCATATCATGGCCTCCTGCAGAAGGGTCTGGCTATGTCCTTGGCTGTCTTGAGTCTTGTTCCATCCTTCCTATGGAAGGGGCACGGCTGAATCTGGCCCAAGAGTCGGTCATACATTGCCAACCCCTGCTAGACTCAATTGCAGAATTTTTACCTTTTGAAGTCTTAGCAACTGCTTTCTCCAACCAGATCATTTTATACCTACAGAAATCAGAATCCAGAAAGCAGCACAACATTTAATGCAAGTTCACAAGGCAGTTAAGCCAGAGTTAAAACTTCAAACTAGAAACAGCCCAGTTCCCAGGCCAGTACCTTCTCCACTGCATCATCACTAGGCTATTTCCAGAAGGTTCTGTCAATCTCTGGTTAAATGGCAGAACCTCTTACAGAAATTTTTCCACAGTAGCTTTTGGTGTAATGCATCAGCCATATAATGTGTAATACACAGTAGTGTTGTCTTGCAACATCCCTAGGAGAACCCAGGATGAGCATTTGGCTAAAGATTTGAGCAAGGGGCAGATTTTGTGAAAACCAAAATAGAGCCTAGAGTAGATTAGAAAGGAAAGCTGTGCACAAAGTTCAAAGGGCAAAATTTTGTTTAAATAAAGTTAAAGGTCACATACAACCTTCATGTACCACGAGGAACATTCTAAAGAGGAGCAATTTTTTTCCATCTCTTATCAGAATGAAAAGAACAGAACTGGAGTACCATAGAAACTTTGCTGGAGGTCACTCTGTGAGTCACGGGAATCATGGGCCAGTGGAAATCATAGAATTCCCTTTATAATTGGATCTGGAATTGGCATCTTTCAAAGAGGGTTATGAGGAAGGGAAATAGACTGAATTAGTGATTCTCAAAGCCCTTGCTCTCTCATTAAGTCCCCTGAAAGCTGTAGGAAAGAGTCCTTCTCTGAGCCAACAGGGACATATTGAATCATTATACTTAATGAGAACAGGACAATTCCTTCAAGAGATTTGTGACGTGCCCAACACAAAGTAGATACTGTATTGGAAAAAAAAAAAAATTGTCCGGATTTCAAAGGAGGCTCCCAGATGACACTCCCTCACATTGGCAGGCATTGGGGGTAGCTCATGGAAAACCTACCATTCAGAGTCGAGAGCCCGCCGCCCCTTCCAAACATGCATGTGTGGACACGCTTGATGCCTTTCCCTCACAGAGGCCAGGAGGTGCTTAATGCGGATGGTTCTTAATCTGCAGTTTGAAGACCTAGGAGCTTGGGACTCTACTTCCTTGAAAATCAGGGCCAACCGTTATTCCTGAGAACTCTTATTTTACTAGCTTTGATAAAGCTAAACCACAGCATACGTCGTGCTACTAATTAAAAATGGTATAATCTGTGCAAATATCATTTCTGGAGAGTACCTTTCATGAAACATCCCAAAAAGATTATTTGTCTCAAGCCAGGACTTTTCCAGAGCCCATTTTTCCAAATGATGGACTCTCGGTAATTATTATGTTTCATTATTATAATTTTCTTCCAGATAATCCAGAAACCTGTACATCATGCACTCCGGGGTATTACATGTAAGTTTGGTTTTTTTGGTTTTTTTTTTCATGGCACTAACTTTTCTGCAGTTTAAGCATTACTGACTTAATCCTAAATCCAGTGATTAAAGCAAAGAGGCCGGGCAGCCTGAAGCGACTCTGCCCTGTCAGGCTATTAAAGAACAATTCTTGGATTTAGCAATAAGAGCCCAGCTGTTTTCTTGCCTCCAAAGGAGGCCCTCTTTTTCTTGGTCCTGGAAGTCACCCAACCTGACACTGGTGTCTAGGAATCTTGCCATGGGTTACCAGGATTCAGACCTTGCTGTTCATGGACAAACCTTAACGATAGACCCGCCCCCAGGCAAGCTATTTCCAAACGTCTGCGTGGAGACCTTGTCCTTAACAGGAGTCAGAAAATCCAGGATGAAGCCAGGTACTTTATGAGCTCTGAATCACCCCCTGGGTAAGAAGAGACACAGACCACTAGATTAAATGAAACGCAGGTAACAATCCCTTCCAAAGTTCTCCAATTCAACTCTACAAGTCAGAGATGGGAGGTCTCCACATCACCTCCCCTTCCCATTGCCATGTGACAGAAGCACACAAACCGTCTGTTCAAATCCCAGGCCTGCCTTTAACTACCTATGGGACTTTGAGCATTTTACCTCAAGACTCAGTTCCCTTATCTAGAAATTAAAGACAAGTTATAGCTACCATAGGAGAATTGAATGGAGGTTGAAATGAGGATATGCATCATCAGTACTCCATAAATAAATATTGCTACCCCTTTCCTTCTCCCTACCCTCTTCACAGCTGCCCCGATGATGGGTCCTCAGGGTCCAGAGGGAAGTGGTTAATGACTTGTTTGGTGAGCACACATAGACCAAGTTTTTGTCCTTGAAACCTAAATATCTATACCTGTTAAAAATGATGTATAGACAGATGTCAGGATATTAAATTATGGTGGTGAAGAGAAATACGTCAACATAGCTCGTGGAAGAAACTCCATCTCCTCCCCCTCTTAGGTTTGAACACCACTGTTACAAGACCTGTCCTCAGAAGACCTACAGTGAAGAACCTGAATGCAAAGCGTGTGAGACCAACTGCGGCAATTGTGACCAGCATCAGTGCTATTGGTGTGAAGAAGGCTTCTTTCTCCTGGGTAAGCCTGAGAACCGCGTGGTGCAAAGGAAGAACAAGGCTCCAGAGCCCCACCCAGAAATAAGAGCACTGGCTTGACTGGCTTTCGACTCTTCCCGTGCCTCTTGTCCAAGGATGGATTTTAATTTGGTTTGAAAATCAACATTAGCCGGGACTACTTCCTTCTGCTTTTATTACTGAAGCAGAGTTCCTATGTCACTCATTCATTTCCAACATCTCCAAGCTGATGGAAACAAGAGTGACAGGGGCGGGTGGGGGGAACGCTGAAGGTAAATGCCTTAGAACAAATCACCTGGAATATTCAGAACCATGACTCTTTCCCGGAGACTTAACCCACGCTATATATTCCTGAGCAGTGTTAAAGATCAACAAGATCCTTTGTCTTTGGTTTTGGTCAGATGGTTAGGAAAGAACTATACTAGGAGTCTTCCAGTGGAAGGACTCACAGCCCAGTGCTCTCGAATGTTTGCAGGATCAGCCCACACTGATCTCCAGTGCTTCTATACAGAGATTCGTTTGATTTGCACTTTTTCAAGGCCCTGAGAATTTGAAGTTCTTTATGCTCTTCACCCCTTCACCCCTTGAGCAAACTGAAATGCTTGGTTAAGAGAGGACTGACATGTTGGATTTAAGACACGTTTCTTGGCTGAAAGAAGCTTATGGCAGTTTGGTTTTCTTGAAAAACAAATTCAAACAAAGAGTGTTCCTGAGATTCCCCGCGGCCTGTTTAGAACTCGGCCTCGCATAGCGCGCCAAGCCAGCCGGGGACCCACCCTCATGCTCCCTCTCTGTGTGCCCCTGCAGGTGGCTCTTGTGTGAGCACATGTGGTCCTGGCTTCTATGGCGACCCAGAGCTGGGCCAGTGTGAGCGCTGCCACCCAGCCTGCGTGACCTGCAGTGGCCCTGGCTACCATCAGTGCAGCAGCTGCCGGGAAGGACTGCAGCTGCAACACGGGACGTGCTCGGAGCCTGCCCAGACCCAGGTGGAAGGCGAATTCTGGAACGGTACGTGCCTCCCGAGACAGAGAAAGCAGGTGTCTGGCCCCCTTCTCTGCCTGCCTGCCTGCCTCCCTCCCGTGTTAACGCTTGCTTTTGGGATATCCCAAAAGAGAGGAAGGCAGGGCAGTGAACCAAAGCTTGGAGTGGGAAAGGGTAGGAGGCGGTGGTTCGTTGTCATCCGACCTGGAGGGAAACCCAAAGCGCAGCCTACGGGTGGTGTGGCCCGTGAGTTCCTATCGGGAGGAGGAGACCTCAGATCGGGTAAAGAGAGTCATGTAGGGGAATGGCCCAACGACCATTCTCAAAGATTTCAGAATAGCTTCTATCTAAGGTAAAGGAAAACGACTGGTAAAGATGGGCTTTTTCAGTTGGACAAGGAAGACCTGCTCTAAAAGTACTGGAATTTAAGCTGAGACAGCTGATCTTTCCGGCTGGCTGATTAGACCTTAGCATCATCCAAGCTTGCCTTTCAGAAGATCCCCTCCAGGGGCACCTGGGCGGCTCACTCAGTTAAGCAACCGACTCTTGATTTCTCCAGGTTGTGAGATCGAGCCCGGAGTCTGGCTCCATGCTCAGCGGGGAGTCTGCTTGAGATTCTCTCTCCCTCTCCCCGTCACTCCCCCCAACTCGTGCTCTCAAGTAAAATAAAATAAAAGTCCCCCTCCAGTTGCAGTTGGGGAAAGTGGGGATTTTGATGGGGACCGGAGGAAGGGTGTGGGAGTTTGCAATCTAACAGCACAGGCTTGCGCGTGCTCATTCCTACCTGCGTCTTCAGTACTGACCTCACATTGAAGCCTCAGTCACGAGCTTCCTTGCAAGGTAGTTACTAACTCCAGTGACCTCTCTGTGTCTCTGGTGGTTAAGAAACCAAACCCTCTTCCTGCTGGAAAAATCTGACTCACATTCTATGCAGAGACGCTCATGAAAACAAGAGATGCTCTCCGTTTGATTTCAAGGCAAGGATTTGTTAAAAAGGTCATTTCAGTGCAATGGCAGTGGAGGTCTGCTCAGGATGAGTCTCCGAAGGGCCCGGGGCGAGGGATAGATCCCGGGCAGGAGAGAGGCTCTTGCCGGGTCTGACGAGGGACATCCATGGCGACCGTCCACCACGACAGGGTTGCATGTGTGACTTAAAGGAAAAGCAGCTCAGAGACCGTCACAAACCCAGCAGCCAAAGGCCATGGAGAACACGGGCCAATTTCAGAGGCATAGCTGGGAAGAAAATCATTCAATCCAGATTGGGATATCTTCCGTGAATTATAGCTGGACCCAAATGCTGAAAACGAGCTTGTCTGGCATTCAGGCATTTAAGAGGCAGGGCAAGCCAAGAGGAAAATAGTCTGGTGCTGGGTCTCTAGCTCAGAACATCTGTATTTTATCTGGCATCCAGATGATGAAAAGGTCCAAGGATCCAAGAGTCAGAGCAGATTTGATTCCCCAAATGATTACACGTCCCTTTCAACTGGGCTACGCACTTTGCAAGCAGAAATCAGGCCTTGACTGCTCCCCTTCGTCAGAGCACCACACCCACCCCTCTGCATTTTCTACTGTCAAAATATAGTGTTTTTGAAGAAAGGAAGGAATTAGTCCATTTGGGGAGTTAGCACTACTAAGGGATTTGGGAAGCAGATGAGAATGTTTCTCATGGCTGCACTTTTCTATGACCTAGGAAATCAGACATGCAGACTATTAACAGTGAGGAAAACTCTTTCTTCACTGAGCAAGGTGAGGCCGGAGCTCAGCTTCCCCAGCGGAGCTTAGACGCCACTGAGGGAGACAGTAAGTGGGAAATGCACTCCATCAAGTCCTGGGAGTATTTGAGCCAAATGCCTACATCTTTCCCCTGACTTCTAACTCTTAAAAAACAAAAACAAAAAAAACAAACAAAAAAAATCCCAACAAGGTTGAGGGTATAATAGGAGGGCAGAAGTTTCCAGAAAACAGGCACTAATTAGCCTCCCCTTTAAGATGATGCTAAGCAGGTGGCAGTCATCCTGGGTCAACTCAGTGGGAGCCCAGACAATGGACAGAATGATTTTAGAAGAATAGAGCTGCCTAGGTGCCCTCAGCAAGGTGGTGGTGTGGTTTTCAACACGGTTGCAGATCCACATAGGAAAGGTAAAATGGGACAAACTCCAGTCCACTCCTTCACCCACATGACCTCCCAGAGGAAACAATCAGAGCTTGTTTGCACCCAAAGACTACAACCGCCCCCCACGGTCTGTGCCAGTACATGTTGGGGAAAGAGCCTTGAAATAAAAATCCAACTAGACTTCGCCAAACCCCTCTCTTAATAAAGGGTCTGCTCACGATGGGAGGACCGTAATTCTTCGTTAATTAAACACGCAGTGGCATCACCTCCTGCCCCAGTCCAAGGATGGAGATTTCCCTACACATTGGACCATGCCTGGCCAAGCCTCCAACCAAGACTAACTCATCTCCAAAGATGGCGGCTCAACTCTGTTCTTCCTGCCAGCAAAGAATCACTTGCACCAGAGTACGGATCCCTACCAGATCCCCTGTCCTAGTCACTAACACCCTGTGAAGATTCCTAGGCCAGTGCCCCTGTGTGGCAGCAACAGACCCAACGTGAAATAGGCTGCTAATGGCTTCCACAGGGACTCGGGCATCACGAGCCACCATGGGTGAAAACGTTCAGGCGTGGCAGGCCACAGGTTCTGCTGCTTTCCTGAAACCATTGTTGGGAATGGAAACAGTTTACTCTATGACTGTTAAATCATTTGGATTTTCTTAAGTGGTTTTCCCCCTAGTAGTGCCGGAAAGTCCTAAGAATAATTCCTGCACATTTCCCCTACCCACCTATTTCCATCATCGATTAAAACCGTGTTTGTAGCGGGCTCTAATTACATATGCTGATGATAGTTTAATCTACAAAGCGCAGACACAGGGAATTAACTTTTTGACCACATCCTAACAATTTCTCACTAGCCTGTCTTTTGATTTTGATTCCTATGCCCTGAGGAAGCCTGGAATCCCAGAGCCAGTCACAAACACTGAGAGCCGTATGTAAAAAATAAATCTCAGCGGTGGGCAGATACGCTGCCTATGTGTAACTGAATCTTCGAGGGCTTTAGAGATGCCACGAAAATCTGATTTTTAGAAGGACTTTGTAGATATACACAATTGCCTCGCGTAGAAATGAGGACCTCATTTTTACTTAATTAACCAACCAGCACTCCGTGAAGAAAACACAGGACCCTGGATGAGTAAATGATTAAACCTTTGGCCCACAGGATCCCTGAAGGAACCATGCGTCTCCACTTGCCCTGATTGTCAAATATCCAGGAATTTCAATAGGGGATCATTAAACCATCGGCAGCTTGAAATCAACTACGATGGGAGTATTTACACCACGGAAATCAGCAAACACTACAATTTAAGGTTTTTGTCGTGTGTTCCAAAGAGCCATTTTACCGGTACACCACTGCTTTGACCTCGACCGAACTATTTTAAAATCCAAATTAATTACTAAAAAGTCTCTCTAGTGGATGTAGGCTTTAGAGGTAAGCATACCAGGGTTCAAACCCCGGCTCTGTTCTTTACTGGCTGTGCGACCTTAAACAAGTTACTCATCCTGTCTGAATCTTAGTTCCCTCATCCATAAAATAAGAACGTGGAACTGCTTCAGCCAAGGTCATTCTGAGAATTAAAGGGGAGAGCCCACATAAAGCTCCCAGGACAGAAGAGGACACAAAAGTTAAACTACTCCCTTGCCCTTTAACCTGACCCAGTCTTAACACGGGAAACACTAGTTCACTTTCAAAACAGTCTTCCCTGTCAAAAGCAAGTAATTTGGGGGGCCCTAGGTTGGGGAAGAATAGTCCCAGAAAGAAGGCAGCAAATAGTGGTCAGCTGGGATGCCTAGGAGCCAAGCAGAGTCCTGACTTAGCCAATACTGTGTATAAAGATGTCAATGGCAGCTTTATTTATAATAACCAAAAAAAAAAAAAAAGATGGAGCAATCTAAAAATGTAACAAAAGAAAAAAATTAAGTGAATTATGGTTCATGCAAATACATAATCCATTAAAAACAGTGTATACTAAGAATTTTAATAGCAAGAGAATATGCCTATAAAATTTATAATAGCAAATGCAGGGGCATCTGGGTGGCTCAGTCGGTTAAGGGTCTGCCTTCAGCTCAGGTCATGATCCCAGGGTCCTGGGATGGAGCCCCACATCCAGCTCTCTGCTTGGTGGGAAGTCTGCTTCTCCCTCTCCCCCTGCCTGCCGCTCCCCACCCCCTGCTTGTGCTCTCTCTCTGTCAAATAAATAAATAAAATCATTCAAAAAGAAAAAACGTAGGGTCGGTATTATATACACAGAAGACATAAATGATTAAATACATACACGTGATTATACTCACACATTCAGCACGAAGATGGGAAATCTACGTGCGGACGTCTACATCGCAGGCATCTCTGGGTGGTAAGGTGATAGGCGAAACTGACCTTCTTCATCTTTCTTGCATTAAAAAAATAAAACACTTTATTTTTCTTTTCTAATAAAAAAGAGCCTGTGCCCACTGCAAGCCCATCTTTGGTGAGGAGCCTGCCACAGAAGCGACGGCGGAAGTTTCAAATCAAAAGAGGTAACAGGGAAATAGGGAGAAGATCATCACACTGAATCAAAAGCCTCTGTGACGTAGAAACCAACCCAAAGAAGCTGGGCTACAAGGAGCAAATGGGGGTGCCCAAGTAAAAACAGAAGGAGGTGGTGACCACAACGTAGATGCTCAAAGGCCAAAGACCCGGGAGGAAACTCAGCAGTGGAGCTTTCTGGAACATTTAAGGGCGTTCCTGATGTGCTGAGTGGTTATATCTGGGAGAGGCTATCAAGAAAAGCCTCTGTCCTTGCAGATCTGTAATAGGCTGGAAAAGCACCTTTGGCCTTCCCAGTCACTGTAGTAGTATTTGAAATAGCAGAGATTGGAAAAAAAACACAAAAAAACCCGAAGTGGTCACCAACAGTTACCAGTTAGAAAAATGAAGTATGATACATCCATGCAATGGAATGCTGTGGAGTCATAAACAAGGGGGTTCTTTATGCGCCGATAGAGAATGAGCCCCAAAATACATTATTACCAAAAAAAAAAAAAAAAGCAATGTGATAAACAGTGCGAATAGATACAGTTTATATAAAAAGGATGGAGAGATATTTTATGATATATTCCCTTTCTTCAGTTTTGTTGGTTTTTTTTAACTGTGTGAGTATTGCTTATTTAAAAAAAATTTTTTTAAATAAAACTCCCGTTTTATATGGTTTAGCTATAGTCATTTCTAAAGGACAGACACTGTATTTTCTTGGTCAAGGTGATTTTTTTTTCTTTGAGGTCTTGTCCAGTCCAGAATTTCTGGAGCGGAAAAAAAAAGAGAAACTATGATCAAAGTCAAAATTTACTTGTGATTAAGTCACTAATCTTTTATGATAAAAAGCTGTGGCGGGGAACGACAATCCCTTGCCCACACTTAATTGCTGTTAACTGTGTGTACGGAGCACCCTCTAGTGGACATATGCTGACATTACAGAATTTTATATCCAGGGTATCCCAGTAAAATCTCAAACTGCCAGAATGTGAGATACACGTAATTATAAATACATATGTAGATATATACATTATATTTTGCAAAAATGTGAGAAAACCCATTAAAGCTCATGTCTTTCTAAATAAAAAATTTAGTATAAAAATGATAAAATCGGGGCGCCTGAGTGGTGGCTCAGTCAGTTAAGTGTTTGCCTTCTGCTCAGGTCATGATCCCAGCTTCCTGGGATCGAGCCCTAGTTCCGTCTCCCATATCGGTGGGGAGTCTGCTTCTCCCTCTCTCCCTACTCCACCCCTCCACTCGTGTGCTCTTGCTCGCTCCAGCTCTCTGTCTCTCTCCCTCTCTTTTTTAAGATTGTATTTATTTGCCAGAGAGAGAGAGCACAACCGGGGGAGCGCCAGGCAGAGGGAGAAGCAGGCTCCCCACTGAGCAAGGAGCCCCACATGAGACTCGATCCCAGCACCCTGAGATCATGACTTGAGCCGAAGGCAGACATCCAACCGACTGAGCCACCCAGGCATCCCTCTCTCTCTGTGTCTCAAATAAATAAATTAAATTAAAAAAAATGATAAAATAAAAAATTCAAACCTTGAGGGGAAAAACATTCAACCCCTGGCCTAGACATATAATATTAAAGATGGTCAAGGTGTTTCTGATAAATATTATTTTGCTATTATTTTTTAAGAACGCTCAGCCATTAAGTATCTTTTTCTCAGTTCCATTGAAATACAATTGACATACAACATTGTAAGGCTTAACCAGCATAATGTGATGATTTGATATACATATATATTACAAAATGATTACCACTATGAGGTTAACACATCCACCACCCCCATAGTTACCTTTTGTGTGTGTGTGCATGTATGTGATGAGAACTTTTAAGAGCTACTCTCTCAGCTAATAGAGTATTAGCTGTAGACACCACGCTGGACATTACATCCTCAGCACTTATTCATCTTATAACTGGACATTTGTACCTTTTGGTCCACTTTCACCCATTCCCCACCCCAACCCCGACACCTGGCAACCACCAATCTACTCTAGGTCTTTGGTTTCCTTGTAGGTTCCACATATAAGTGAGATCATATGGTATTTGTCTTTCTCTCTCTGACATACTTCACTTAGCCTAATGCTCATGATTTATCCCTTTGTTGCAAATGGCAAAATTTCCTCCTTTTTTTATGGCCGAATAGTGTTCCTTTATACACATATGACACATCTTGATCCATTCATCCATCGATGGACACTTAGGTGGTTTCCATGTCTTGGCTCTTGTAAATAATGCTGCTATGAACATTTGAGGACAGGTATCTCTTCAAGGCAGTGATTTCATTTCCCTCAGTTATATACACAGAGTGGAATTGCTGGATCATAGGGTAGTTCCATTTTTAATCTTGTGAGGCCCCTCCGTACTGTTTGCCACTGTGGCTGTGCCCATTTATGGCCCCTCCAGCAGGGCACAAGGGTTCCCTTTTCTCCACATCCTCACCGACACGTGCTATCTCTTCTTGATCCTAGCCCTTCTAACAGGTGTGAGGTGATCTCACATTGTGGTTTTGATCTGCATCTCCCAGGTGGTTAGTGAGTGAGGACTGATGTTGGCAACCGAATTGTTGCTCATCTCTGCCGCCTTCTCGTTTGGGTTAAGTGAGACTGTCAGTTTAAAAAGGCCTTGGTCCTGTGGAGCTTCCTGTTGTCTGTGAGAACCCTGTGCCTGACAGTGCTCCGCACAAGGCTAACTGAGCTCTTAACAGCTCCCCCCAGGGAGAGTACAGCAGTGAGTCAGTCTCCTGGAAAACCAAGGCATATTTCTCTCTCCAGACTAGGAAGAGAACGGCCACTTAGCATGGCAGGATGATCATTTATGTCTACACATCTGTATCTACATCCACACCAATCTGTCTGTCTACCTACCTACCTCTGAGTCTAGTTTCCTCTGTAGCGAATCTTAGCAGCTTATTAACCATAGCGCCTTCAGAGAAACCAAGCAAACCCTCCCGGTGCCACTCCGGGTATGGAACAGAGGGAAAAGAGAGAGAACTAAAGCCTAAGGTTGGGAAATGGGGAAGTATGGTAACCAAGGAGGAAACTGGGAGGAAGGAAGCAGAAGGTCTAGCATTTACTGAGCCGCTGTGTGTGCGCGTTACACACTGTTTCATTTAGCCTCCACGACAGTTCTATAAGGGAACGATCGTTTGCTCTCATTCTAGAGACACGGAAAATAGGACTCTCGGAGTTTAATTACCGTATCCATGGTTACCCTCCCATAAGTGGCACAGCTGGGCTCTGACAGCAGGTGTGCCTACAGAACCCACTTTGTCAGACTGACTCTCAGGAAGAGCAGAAAGGAGCAGGAAGCAAGAGAGGGACGGTGATCGTAAGATACCAATAGTAACAGTCAACTGAGGGTCTGGATCATTCCTATCACACATCCTGAGCTAGATCTTCTTTTTCTAATTCTCTCCTATGAGACTTATGCTGATTCCCAAGCAGCTCCTGAGATTCGGTCAAGATCTCGTGGACTCATTGAGTGATGTCACCAAGGCTATTCTGTAGGTCTTTGAAATTGTCCTGTGGACTTCCTGACTCCCTGGAAAAGCCTGGTCACCAAAGGAATGCTCTTGGGGGGAAAGGGAGAGAGGAACACCTCAAATGTTTCCCAGGGGAATGGTGTATTGACCTGGGATGGCCTGCCTATCACCTAACCAACCAGAAAGCCCACAGGTGGCTCCATTAGGTGAATGTTTAATGATGATTTGAGAGGAGATAAATTTAGGTTTGCATTCCACAGTGATTACTCTGAAGAACACAGAAACCCAAACATTGACGGATTTTGAAACCTGATTCCAAAGAACAAAAAAAAAAAAAAAAAAGGGAAAGAGAGGAAGGAAGGAAGGAAAAGAAAAAGTTACCCCATAAAAGACACAATGAATTCTGTTATCCTCTTGGAGTGAAGAGAAATGGTCATCTAAGACTCTTGGTGAAAGAAGTGATGACCTTTAACTAGAAAACTTTCATGCATGCATGCACACAAGCACACACCCTCACAGATTTTTAATATATGAGAGAAGGAACACCTGTTAGTTCAAACAGGCCCGTTGCATTTAAGACTATCCTGTCACTGGAAGTTTGCAAACCATGTCTTGATAATCAATTGGAAGGAAGAGAAAAAAATAAATGAAATACATGAATAAATGAATAAAGTCCACTGTGGAGGTTTAGCCAATGCAAAATTGAAAGGATTCTATTCTGGGCAGGAAGGAAGATGAGATTACCCATGAGATCCTTTCCAACGCTGTAATACTATGAGCCTGTTCAAAGGATACTGACTTCTGGTTTCTGTCTACACAGACATTATGAGAGGACACCAGCCTTGTCATCCTTCTTGTAAAACCTGCAATGAATCTATGACCCTGTGCACTTCGTGTCCGAAAGGTCAGTATGGAGTATGATAAGAAGTGGCTGTGGCCAAGCCAATTCACTGTCACTCATGTGTATTGGCATTTTTACGTAAAAGGTTTGCAGGACTTGATCCAGTCCTCACTGTTCCTATCACTGTGGCTACTCTGGAAAAATGCAGGGGCCCAAACAGTGACCTCTAACAAAAACTGGTATTCAGGAGTGCATGGTGGGTTCAGTCGGTAGAATATGTGACTCTTGATCTCAGGGTTTTAAGTTCGAGTCCCACATTGGGTGTAAAAATTACTTAAAAATAAAATCTTAAAAAAACAAACAAAACTGGCTTTCAAAGGACCAAAAAAAAAAGAGAGAGAGAGAGAGAGAATGAAAAGAAAAATGCCAATGTTCTTATCCAAAGGCATGATGAAGTCATCTGTTGATCTGGCCAGAGATTTTGTTAGGGTCTCTGGGTACCTGACATTTCTAGAGGTTCCATTACTCTTTAAAGTGCATTAGCCAAAACAAGAGAACTTAGGGTAGGGTAGAGGGTAAATACCCTACTTATTCTTTCCTTCTTCATTTCTGAATTTAGGAGAGAAAAAAAAACCCAAGAACAACAACTTTTTTTTTTTTAAGATTTATTTGAGAGAGAGCGAGAGAGAGCGCGAGGAGCAGGGGAGAGGGGCAGAGGGAGAGGGACAAGCAGACTCCCCACTGAGCAGGGAGCCCAATGCGGGACTCAATCCCAGGACCCTGGGATCATGGTCTGAGCTGAAGGCAGATGCCCAACTGACTGAGCCACCCAGGCGCCCCAGCCAAGAACAACAAACTTAACAGGTCAAGAGATGAACTGCTTCATCATTTACAATAACAAAACATCAGAAATAGCAACTTCCCTGAATTCTGGGGATATTTTATTAACATGGTACACTAACAGTGAGAAGTTAAGAATTAAAAGTGACCATTAAAGTGGTCATTATGTTGGAAGGTGCAATGTTCATCATGAGATGGGGCACAAAAGTTTAAAATTTCAGGTGTGCCATGATTCTACCCCTACGAAATATAAAAGTTTATAACCAAAAATTGAAGGAATTTTCTTGGGATTTGGGAGTGAAGGGTGATTTTAAAATAGTTTTCTTCAATAATGATGTTATCTGATTTTTTTCAATTAAGAAGCACTGGGTGTTATACGCAAATAAGGAATCAGGGAACACTACATCGAAAACTAATGATGTAATGTATGGTGATTAACATAATAAAATAAAATAAAATAAAAAAGAATAAGTAGGCAGACCGTCCACTCCAGGTGGTGCTGGATGGTGGAGGAGTTGCCACTATGTTAGTGTCCTAGCAGGAGAGGATTCCAGAAGCAGAAGAATAGACTCTATTGAGCTGCACATGTAAAACGGCCTTACACGAAGACAGACCAAGGTGTTAATAGACAGATCAACTGGGGAAAGGGAAGCCCCATAGTGACCTGCAGGAAAGTAAAAGAAACAGGGCAAGCGGGCATCTGGGTGACTCAGTCAGTCTTGATCTCGGGGTCCTGGGATCGAGTCCCACATCTGGTTCCCTGCTCAGCAGGGAGCCTGCTTGTCCCTCTGCCTCTGCCCTTCCCCCCCATCATGCACTCTTTCTCTCTCTCAAATAAATTAAAGAAAGAAAGAAAGAAAGAAAAGAAGGAAAGAAGGAAGGAAGGAAAGAAAGAAAGAAAGAAAACAAAGAAAGGAAAGAAAAAAAGAAAGAAAGAAAGAAGGAAGGAAGGAAGGAAAGAAAGAAAGAAAGAAAACAAAGAAAGGAAAGAAAGAAAGAAAGAGAAAGAAAGAAAGAAAAAGAAAAGAAAGAAAGAAAGGAAAGAAAGAAAGGAAAGAAAGAAAGAAAGAAAGAAAAGAAAGAAAGGAAAGAAAGAAAAAAAGAAAGAAAGAAAGGAAGGAAGGAAGGAAGGAAGGAAGGAAAACAGGGCAAAAGCCTCTGTTGTGGATTTCCTTTCTGGAGATTTAACTCAATGTGGAAGACTGAGCCTCACTAACAAATACTTTGGTTTGCCGGAAAGCAGCATTCCACATTCTCGGGTCTTTGCAGAGGTTCAGAAAAGCTGCCGGGGGCATCTGTCCTCTGCATGGACCCCTGTGCCATTGGACCTGCCACGTGATGATGGTCTGCTCTGCCTTCTTCCCTGGGTTTCTAGGCACGTATCTGCTGGCCCAGGCCTGTGTCTCCTCCTGTCCTGAAGGCACATGGCCCTCGGCGAGGAGTGGCCACTGCGAGAACTGTATGGAGGACTGTACCTCCTGCTCTGGAGCCCATCTCTGCAGAACGTGCCGGACGGGGCTGGACTTCCCTCTCTTCCTCCACGAAGGCAGATGCTACACCAGGTGCCCTGAGTAAGTGTCCCTCTTCCTTCCACGTCCCACTCGGGTTCATTCTCCTGCTGTACTTGGAGGGCAATTCCTTCCTGCACCAGAGGATGCCGTCCTGGTTACAGAGCCTTTGGAACTGTCCCCTCGACACGCAGTCGCTGTCGGCCACGGCAGCCAAACCAGGCCCTTGTGACTGTGATATGTATGTGTTTTTGACCTTTGTGAAAATACGCTCTTTTTCCACCTTGTGGTTATGATCAAGGAGTTGTCTTCCTTCCATGACAAAAGTTAAGGCTGTGAATACATGAATGTGTTCTTAAATGTTTACAGTAGGTGAGGTGTGAGGTATAAATAATAAATATGGAATCATACCTGGTGAATTATTGATTGATTCCTCATGGTGTCCTCAGTCCTCTGGTTTATAATTCCTCTTCTCTTCCCATCAATGGGTCCAGCTCCAGGATGTAAAAATGAAGTGGAAACAGCACATGGAAAAGTTTATCTGGGAACCTTCAGTGACAAGCAACAGAAATTCTAAGTAGAATGAGACAATGTGGGGTTTACTATCTCACGGAACAAAAAGGTTAAAACCCAGCATTGGTTACATCAGCGGCCAACACTTCATTAAAGACCCACAATCTTTCTGTTTTGTCCTTGAATCTTCTTCAGCTTGTCCTCCCCTGAGCCCCTGAGCCATGTTGTCTGCCCCGTTTCCAAACCTCACCACCCTACACGACAACAACCAGAGACAGAAAAGGGCACGTTTCTCCTCCTCCATCTCTTTTTAAAAGGAAAGAAAACTTCCTCTGACTTCCCTTCACATCTCATTAGCCAGAATGCTTCACTTCCGTCTTCCAAAAATGATCTCTGGCGAGAAGGACGGAAATAGAAGGATCGGTTTAGGCTACACAAAATTCACCCCTGCACACCCAAATAAAATCAGAACACTGTCAGGCAGGGAGACTGGAAAGAGGGAGGTGAGGAAGGAGTTTGGGGAAGTGACCAACAGAATCTGTTTGAAGCAATTAGAAATTTCCCACTGATTAAAAGAACTTGATGGTAGAGCTACAAGATCTATGATAGAGGTAGATCATTAGTATCTGTATCCACTGCTGAAATAGATCCTATAGGGTAAAAACGTAAGTCAGGGTACTCAAGAAACTTCCAGCCCAGTGGAGAAGCCAAGCATATTCAATTCAGTTCCGCAGATAAATAGTTAGCACCTACTAGGTGTAAGAATTGACATCGGAAGCTAAGTTATAATCAACTGAAGGTTCTCCATTTGGTCCAAAAATGCTAAGATACTAGATACTACTGTATAAGGGAGCCTGGTCTTAGCTTTCATCTGGGTACAATTTGGTTTCCTCTCTTCTACTAATCTGCTCCTTCTCCAAATTTTCTTTCGTAAAACTACATTAGATACGTAACCTTTATTCACCCCGTCCCATTTCTTCCTGATACATTCAATACATTTTTGTTTCCTGAATAAATATAAGAATGGCTGAAAGAATGATGAAACAGACGTGAATGAGTTAATTAAAACATCAAGTAAAGATGCCGTATAGGATCCGTTATTGGCATTGATTCAAAAAGGACTTGAGCAGCCTGAGTTATTTGCTACAATTCTTCACCTCCCCATGTACCTGTGCCCCCTGCTCGTCCCTTTGCAGCAACTTCCACAGACACAGAATGGACTTCCCTGACCCTTGACTTTGGGCCGGGTTGCTTTGCTTTGGCCAACAGGATGTTAGCAGAAGGGAAGCAGAGAGGCTTACAACCTGTTTGTCTGGATGAACTGGCCCTCTTGTGCTCTGTCATGGCTAAGAGAAGAATGTGCCCCAGGAGGTCCCTGTGCCAGGGAAGATAAAGGGACAGGAAGAAGACCTGAATCCAGTGTGTATCTCAGGGCCCAGCCTCCTTCTCCCGGAGTACATGCATGACCTCTGCCCCTACAATGACATTGGCCTCTTTCAGCGCAAGCTCAGCCTAGATCTGCCTTCCTGCAGATACATGGGTGATGAGTTTGGGAGTGTCCTGCCACTCAGCCTATTATGGCAACAGCTGACAAATAGAATGAAAATTATAGAAAACAACTGGAATAGATACCTAGAACATCGGGGGGCACCTGGGTCGCTCAGTCATTAAGTGTCTGCCTTTGGCTCAGGTCATGATCCCAGGGTCCTGGGATCGAGCCCTGCGTCGGGCTCCCTGCTCGGCGGGAAGCCTGCTTCTCCCTCTCCCACTCCCCCCTGCTTGTGTTCCTGCTCTTGCTGTGTCTCTCTCTGTCAGATAAATAAATAAAATCTTAAAAAAAAAAAAAAAGATACCTAGAACATCAGAAGTCCATATTCTCTACAACGGTTTATGATTTTCCTGCTTCTGCACGTTCCAGTTCTTCCCGCCAGCTTTTTTCTTCAAAAAACTGTCGAAATTTCCCCCATCTTCCAAATCTATTTGAAAAGGTTGAGGTTTTCGTAGTTACTGTGTTCATCAGTCAGTGAGAGATTTCTCTGGCGTGATAATGTAATCACTAGAGGTACAATATATATATACAGACGCCAGATTCCACCTGGAAGAAAGTCACTCTTATAAACATATCCTCCACGAGCAGCTACTGCAAATATGTTTGATGCTGCGTGCAAACATTATATGTGCATGTTTGAAAAAAGCCACCAGAGGTTGGCTGAGAGCATCCGAAAGCAAAAGTGGTTCCAATTTTATAGGGCATTAAACCTTTAGAGCTTTGTAAAAATAAGTTTTTAATTATGAATGAACATTTTATATTAAGGACTAAATTCAGTAATTTATTAAATTAAAATTTTTCATTAAAAATGTATTGGATAAAAAGCATTTTGTACTCTAACATAAGTTTCTAATTAAAAAAAAAAGAAGAAGAAAGAATAAAAATTGGGAGATAAAATAGGGAAACCAGAAGGTGGCTAAACTATATACACATTAACAAAAGTGGTTTTCAAACCAACCAAATTCACAAGGATAACACCTGTCCCTTTCCTTTTTCTCCTCCCGGATTTGGCTTCTGACCCCTCCTTCCTCGGCAAATCTGACTGCCTCGTTCTGCCCGACAATAGCTGCCGTCCTTCCAGTGTCTTTCAGTCCCAAGCCCTCTGCCACCAGGCGGGACTCACTTCCCCGGATGGAAAGCATCTCCAGTTGTGCTCTGTCTTCCCCACAGGGGCTTCTATGCAGAAGACAGCACATGTGAGCAGTGTAGCTCTCCTTGCAAAACATGCGAAGGAAACGCCACCACCTGCCACTCTTGCCAAGGAAGCCTCATCCTGCACCAGGGAGCATGCCGGGAAGCCTGCCCCGAGAGGCATGTGGCCGTGGAGGGGGTGTGCAAGCATTGCCCTGAGATGTGTCAGGACTGCATCCATGAGAAGACATGCAAAGGTACATGGGAGCATCCCAGGGGAGAGTGTGGCTCCCCCAGGCTACCGCCCCTGGGGACCAACCATGGCAGGGGTGCGGGGGGCGGGGGGGCTATGCAGAATGGAGGGAACCAGTCTCCTTATCTTTCCTGAAATATAATCATCTCCATGCACATCACTGAAGCAATCAAGGGCGTTCTTCAAGCTAAGACAAATGAAAGCCCCTTTTCTGCATGATTTCTTCCACACAGGTGTACTGAGCACTTAGGGATGCGCCAAGCACCATCCCAGCTGCTAGAGATCTAGATAAGAACCCGAAGTTCCTGCCTCTTTGTGCACAAAATCTTATAGGGAGGCTTATATTAATGAAACACAGAGGAAGCTAGAGAATTGCAAGTGTTACAAAAGATAGGAAAGAGAAGGTCAGGCGAAGACGGTAAGACTCAGAATAGCACTCTGGCTAGGAATTCTTTCTCTGGAATTATCTCCAAGAAGGGCTAATTTCCTCTCCAGAGCAAGACCCATTGAACTGATGCTGTTCTATCAAAAGGATTCCCTTGGCGTGACCCAAAGCGTTTTCTTGGTTTCCCCCCAAATAAGAGAATGAATACAGATGAAAGAAACCCACAACGCATGCCTCACGCTGAGTTACCATGTCTATGTCACTGATCTACTCTATCAGTGAATGAAAACATAACTAATGCAAGAATGTTTAAGCCGCTTTGGGGCTGAATAGAGCATGCTTTTCGGGTTTTCAACAATACCTCCAGCATCTCAGCCATAGATGGTCTGCCACAGCTCTGCAATTTTTTACACCTCTGAGGGGCAGGTCATTTCGGGCTGTAAACCCAGCACCATGTCATCAGGCCACCATATGTGGTCTTCTCTCCCAAAGCTTAGAGATGTGGGGGATGTGCCCTGGCAGGCTTGGCATGGGGCATATGCATGGAACACTCAGGTCAAAGGAGCCAGTGTGGTCCGGACAGGCTAGCCCACTCCAGAAGGAACGAATTCCTTTCTCCTGTGCCCAGTGGGGTAACTTGCTGCTTCCTCCTTCCTCCAGAGTGTATGCCTGGGTCCTTCCTGTACCAGGATATGTGTCATCCATCCTGTCCCCACGGCTTCTATGCGGACATACGCAAGTGTGTCCCCTGCCACGAAGACTGTCTGGAGTGTAGTGGCCCCTCAGCGGATGACTGTGACCTCTGTGCCGAGCCATCCCTGGTTCTCTATGATGGACAGTGTTTGGACGAATGTCCAGTGGGAACTTACTATGAAAAAGAGACTAAGGATTGCAGAGGTAAAGACTTGCGTGTGTATGGCCAAGCATCCCAGGGAGGCTGTCACAATGATGGGTTTCTGCTGAGACAAAGCAGGTGCTGGGGTTTGCAGGGTTCCAGCCCCGGAGCTGTCATCCCATCCGTTTCCCTCCTGCTCAGCAAAGCAGATTTTTGAATCCGCTCTAATTCATTATTTTTTTTTTTTAAAGATTTATTTATTTGAGAGAGCGAGAATGAGAGAGAGTACATGAGAGGGGGGAGGGTCAGAGGGAGAAGCAGGCTTCTCGCCGAGCAGGGAGCCCGATGCGGGACTCGATCCCGGGACTCCAGAATCATGACCTGAGCCGAAGGCAGTTGCTTAACCAACTGAGCCACCCAGGCGCCCTCATTATGTATTTTTTAAATGAATCATTCATAAGCTTTGACCATGTAATTTTTCTTAATAACAAATCAGATTGACCCTCCTCACAACATGGGCCCTGAACTGCTGATCAAAAAGAATTCTCATGTGAAGTTTCACAGCAGAGATGAGCCTTCAAAAGTCACCCAAAATGGAAGTTGGTTGTTGTTTTTTTTTTCTTAAACCTTGAAGCCACTAAAGGTTGACAGCAGCTCAGGGAAAACCGTGCCACAGAGGATTTTCTTGGTGCCTCTTGGGTCCCTTATCAGTTTTCTCCCTGCGGTTCCCCCCGCCCCGGACCCCGTGGCTCCTCATCTGCTTCAGCAGCTCCTGCCCTGGGACCCCCACTCAGCACATCAACCCGAACCCATTCAAGGAGGGATCTGCTCTCGTTTATGCCTCCTTATGTTTTCCCTAGGTATCAACTGTTGGCCTCAGAACAGGAAAAATAACAGGTCTATTATGAGAATTCTCAAACCACTGAATCACTCTGGGTGAACTTCTCCAGAGTTTCAGGCTTCACTCCAGCTAGGCGGCCAGTGGTAACTTTGCCCCATGTCGCCACCTAGCAAGCACTAGACAGCTATGCAGAGGTGGTCCCAATAGCAGCAAGAGCTTGAGGGTGAGAAACCCCAGCGCCCCCCCCCAACGTTCCAGAACGTACTCAGGAGACCAATTTGCATGTCCTAGGACATGAAGATGGAGCTGACTCCTCACAGCTTTCTGCTCTAGCACTATGATCAACACACCTTGTTGTGTGTTTTATGTAAGGTACTCTTCACTGTCAATGTTCCACCCGAAAGACCACAGACTAGAACATGGTGGAAGACAGGGCGGCAGTGAGCTTGGGGCCAGTTTCCTTGAGAAGTTTAGCAACTTGGCCAAAGGCCATCGTGCCTGTACTCAGACAGGAACTAAGGGTCAATTTCTGCCTTTCTCTGGTGTTTGCCATACAGAGAACTTTGCAGGCCTCACAGTACATTTACTTGACTTAATTTTCTCATTGAGAAAGGCCCCTGGTTCCCATCCCTGGTTGCCCATTAGAATCACCTGGAGAGCTTCAAAAAAAAAAAAAAATACCACTGTACAGATGCCTGGGCTCCCCTCAGACCAACTCAACCGTAGGGAACTAACTTGAGGGCTTTCCCTACAAGGCGATGGCTCCTTCCACCAGTCCAAAGGCAGGCTGAGGGAAGCTGGTACTGGAAGAAACAGGGTGGCCACCGGACTTTCCAGAAAGAAGAAACAAAGAACCTGACCTGAAAAATTAAGATTTGGGTAGATGTGGAGAAGCATCCAGAACCAAGCAGGATCTCCTCCAAGAAACACAAGGGCTTGGGATCCATTTGGATCATCCAAATTATCCTCTATGAGAGAGCATAGGCACCTCTAAGAATCTCACGCCTATCCCAAGGCACTGGGGCAGAAATAGCAAGAGCTCTGATTAAGCTCCTGGGTTCAACTTCTAACCCTGCCCATTTCCAGCCAAGTGACTTAGCACCTTCAGCCTCAATTTCCTGATCTAGATAACATGAGATGACCATAATGCCATGTGTCTATTCATTCAGGGAGCACTTACTGGGGGCTTCCTATGTACTGTGTGCTCCTCTAGGCCTAGGGAAAAGCAAGGGACAATACAGACAGAATACGGGGCGGGTGGGGGTGCAGACAGACCCTAAAAAAGGTAAGTCAAAAGGAAAAGTTAGTCAGGGCAGGGGAACAGGAAGTTGGACAGGATGGAGTTGAAATTATAGTGAAGGCATCCTGAAGACCTCATAGAAAAACAGAGGGAACAAGCCACACATACATCTAGGAGAACCACACATACACTCTAGGCAGAGGGAACGGCAATGGCCAAGACCCCGAGGTAGGGATGAATTGTTTTGATTTTATTTGTCTAAGAAAAGTTACTGAGTGCCTGTTACATGCCAGGTCCTCTCACAGGTACTGTGCATTCATCAATGAATACAAAAGAGGCCTTTTTTTGATCAACAGGCAATTACAGTACATCCCAACAACTGTTGTTAGTGATAAGCTCGAGTTGTTCCGGGAGGTCAGTGGAGGGCCACAGAGAGTTATGGGGTAAGCAGGCCACAGATCAGTGTATGACCATACCCTACAGAATTGCTTATTGTTTTGTTGCAGTTTTGGTAACCACACTGAGTCTAATATTTCTGGATGCGGCAAGAAGGGGTTCTCTAGATATTATAGAGAATGTGAAATGGCCATTTTTCTTCTCATTTGACAAGAATGCTCTACCCAGAGCCTAAGGGCTCTACCCAACTAGTGGCCCCCATGCCCTGGACCCAGAGCCCTAGAAATCTCTGAAAGAAAAGGGGAAGGGGTGTGAACACACCTTCTAGGGGCGCCCTGGACCTCTCTCACTTGGTCTTCTGCCCCCACCGTGCCCACAGATTGCCACAAGTCCTGCCAGACCTGCTCATCACCTGGGATTTGCACGGCCTGTCAGGAGGGCCTTCTGGTCAACCACCACGGGGACTGCGTGCCTCACAAGGAATGTGCCCCCATTGAGTACTGGGATGTGGAGGCTCTGGGATGCAAGCCCTGCCATGCTAAGTGCTTCCGCTGCACGGGGCCTGCCGAGGACCAGTGTCACACCTGCCAGAGGGACAACCTTCTTTTCAGTGAGTCACGTGTCCTCTGAGGAGGGCTCTCTCTTTCCCTCCATCTGGGAAACCACCTTGCATGACGCCTGGTGCCCAGATGTTTGGTGTCTTTCTAATTTTTCACTTTGTATTTGGAAAATTTTCAAACCAATAGAAAAGAAAAAAGTATGAAGAACGCCACACACGTGCCCTTCACCCACTTCGGCCACCACTAATTGGGTGTCCCATTTGCTTAATCATTCGCGTGCTCAGTCTTAACTGTCTCAATGTGTAATGCCTACATAATCCACAATAAATTTTTTCCTGACCATCTGAGGATGTGATACACACATCATGACTCCTTTTGCATAAATACTTTAGTATGTATTTCCTAAAACTAAGGATACTTTTTGACATAGCCATGGTACAGTTGTTGATGCAAGTGAATTTAACATCAATACTTGACTATATCATCTGTTTTATAATTTTGGCAATTCCTCCTTGGAACAGGATCCAGTCTCCAATCAGGTATTGCCTTCAGGTGCCAGGTCTCTGTAGCCCCCATTAAACTGAAACATTTCCACAGACATTTTTTTCTATAGAATATTGACATTTTAGAAGAATACAGTCCCTATCCCTCCACTGAAGTCTGTGTGAGGTGTCCCACAATTAGACAGAGATAATTCATTCTCAGCCAGAATACTTCACAGGTGATGTCGTGTCCACCTGGAGACCCAGGATGTCACCTGCCCCTCACTGGTGACGCTAACTGTGGTCATCTGTTCAGAGTGCTGTCCAGTGTCTCCAGTGCTTAGTTACTATTTTCCCTTGTGATTAATAAGCAATCTGTGGAGAGACACTTTACAAACATGCAGGGATTCAGCCCCTCATCAAAATTTCCCCTGGATTTTGCATCCAGGGATTAATAAATCTTCTTGAAGTCTGGCATGGTCTGAGGTTGGCCACCTCCAGCAGATCTTATCACAGATGTGAAGCAATGCCCTCAGGTTTCCAGGGATTCCATGATTAGGCTAATACAGGTATGTGAGAAAGAAAATGAGACAAAGCGCACTCAGCTAAAAGAAGGAGCAACGGAGGGGCATAGGAGAGAGGGAAGGAAGAGATGAACGTGCTGAAGACCTGGAAAGGGTTAGCATCTATCTCCCCAACCCACACAGATCTGAGAAGCAAGACCCTCACAAGGACACCATCTCATTCCTCCTGCATCCTCCCTTCCCACATGGTTCACCCTAGGGAGCACAGAGAAGAAGTTTGGGAGACGTTCATCATACTTGATACCAAGACAGACTCTTTTCCTTCCTTGGCAGACAGGACCTGCGTGCAGGACTGCCCCGAGGGCTACTATGCTGATGAGGACAGCCACCAATGTGTCCCCTGCCACAGCTCCTGCAGGACGTGTGAAGGGAGACACAGCACACAATGCCTCTCCTGCCAACCAGGCTTGCTCCAGCTGGAAAAAGAGTGCCTGCTGCAGTGCCTGGAAGGGTAAGGTGCCCAACACACGTTTCCCTCATTTAATCCCAAACCAGGCAGGCAGCACTAATGGCAAACCCATTTTGCAGATGAGGAAGCTAAGTTATAGAACACCACGATGAAGTCTCAGTGCTAGGAAGAAATGAAGATCAGAGGCCAACCAAGATCTACTGATCTCTAAAGGATTTCAGCTAGGGGCACCTGGGGGGGCTCAGTCGGTAGAGCACATGACTCTTGACCCTGGGTTCGTGAGTTTGAGCCTCATGTTGGGTGCAGAGATTACTTAAATAAATATCTTAAAAAAAAAAAAAGATTTCAGCTAATTCATAGTAATGGATGAGGACATAGGAGAGGCAGAGTGACCCAGTGAGAAAACATGAAGGGTTGATCATCAAGTTAGAATCATGCATCAAACTTCACTACTAATTTTAAGGTACAAGAAAACCCAAGGCAGAGGCAAAGCATTCTTCCCTTAGAGAAGTCTAAGACCATAAATGTAGGTCCTTCCTCTTCTGCATTAGGATTTGTTCTGATCACATTTAATAGGTGAGGTCTAAGCAATGTATGCAGAGCATTGATTTTACAAAGGGAACAATTTCAATTAAATATTTCCACTCATATGCCACCAATACTCCAACCTACCATGCCCCCATACGTCTACAACTTACAGGCTTAATTACATAAGCAACCTAGATACACAGATGTATGCTCCTAAAAGCATATCATAAATAAGAACTCTATCATTTTTTGCTAGGAAAAACTTTTAGTGTATTTATCAGAAGGTCTGGTTACCAGCATATTTGAAAGAGGATTTGAGCGGGTCATCCCTTTTCTCCCGCCAGGAATGCCCAGTAAAGAGAAAGATGGATTACAGGCCCGTTGCTAATTCTTCCTTCCCAATCAGTAACATAAGGCACTGAGCGTTTCCAGACCCAAATTGAAAGGCTATCACCTTGGCCTTTCCCCAATGCTTCTGCCCAGATGAGACATCACGTTTCTTTCCTTCGGTTCTTAGCAATTCCTGCCTGCATTACTCACCGTGGTGCTTTACACGGCCCTCATCCATTCACCCATTCATTCCACACATGTCTAATGAAGAGCACCTGGATGTAAAATACAAAGATTTTGACCTTCAAGAATTAATTCTTCCTGGGGCGCCTGGGTGGCTCAGTCAGTTAAGCATCTGCCTTCGGCTCAGGTCATGATCCTGGGGTCCTGGGATCGAGCCCCGCATCGGGCTCCCTGCTCAGCTAGGAGTCTCCTTCTCCCTCTCCCTCTGCCCCTCCACCCCCACTCATGCTCTTTCTCTCTCAATGTCTCTCAAATAAATAAATAAATATTTTTAAAAAAAGAATTGATTCTTCCTATATATTTCTTACCAAGAAAATTATAAGCACCAGGAAAAAAAAAAAAACCCTCTTATTTTTCACACATATTTACTACAATGCTCAGCACAGAGTCACACACCTCAGCCCTGAAAAACACCAGCCATATGGATCCACGAAGAAAGAGCCCTACCCAACAAGAGACGGAATAGGGCCACCTGGCTTAGCCTTTCCCCTTCATTCCAGAAAGTGCCCGAAAAGATCTGGATCCAATGAAAGGAATCTCCATCTCCCCCAAATCAAGTCATTAAATACTTTTTACACAAAAGGGCATAATCCTGTCATCTAAATAGTTGTAGACCATCGAATTAAGAAGACAATTTTTACATTGGGAAGTATGTGAAGTTACCCACTGGGGAGGAGAGGCATGGGTTGCCATAAACCTCTTTAATGGGGTATTAATGAGGTATAAGTGGAAATATTTAACAGCAATGGTTCCTTTTATAAAATTGATGTTCCATGCGCGTTGCATCAATCTCATATGGTAAATCTCCTCGCCTCGGAAAGGCAGGTATATGATCCTCCGAACCCTTTACCCACACCCATAATTATTTTAGTGTTTAACCTCAGAGCAGGGTTTTGTTTTTTTTTTAATGATTTTTATTTATTTATTTGTCAGAGAGAGAAAGAGCACAAGCAGGGAGAGCGGCAGACAGAGTAGGCAGAGGGAGAAGCAGGCTCCCCACTGAGAAGGAGCCCAATGTGGGACTTGATCCCAGGACTCTGGGATCATGACCTGAGCCAAAGGCAGACGCTTAACTGACTGAGCCACCCTGGAGCCCAGGGGCCTTCTATCTTAAAAATAACCGATCACATTAGTAAAGAACATGTATGCTGCTTTGGAGTTTACAAAGTATTTCTACTCAGAATATATTTTTATATTATGATTTGGTTCTCCAACAATCCTCAGAGATCGACTTATTCTCCCCATTTTACAGATGACAAAATTGAGGCTCAAAGAGGTTAAGTGACTTGCCCAACATCACAAGGCTACTCATACACAGTGGGGCCAAAACAAGAAATCAGATCTTCTGACTTCACGCCCCTGTATTGTCTGTGTGGGAAGGTGTGTGTTTCTACCTCTTCCCATTTCTCTTTCAAGTCTTCTGTGGCTTTTATCAGCTCTTTAGTTCCCGATTGATGCTTTCTTTGTCCTCCCTTCATCACCCTGTCTCTCTCACCCCCCAGGCTTACTGATTGACTCGGCAGTACTTTTCCTCACCTAATGGCAGAAGGTAAAACAAGGCCTGATTTGCCACAAGCTGGGCCACTGAGGTACAAGCGCTCAGGTCAGGGACAGGTGGCGAGGGAGAGGCAGACTCAGCGCTACCTTGCTCTGGTTTTAGTTTCCAACGACTAGTGGAACTGAAATAAGCTTTAGGGAACCTCATGTGGCAAATAGTTTCAGGCCGGAGAAGCCAAGGGCAAACCGTCAAGTTTCAAGGAGAGCGTCAATGTGCCTGGGTCCAGAGATGCCAAAAAGGGTCAGATGATGTCTAGAAGTTCATCTTTGTCAAAGATTTCTTTTCTCTCTTCTATCTAACTTGAAATATTTTTATTTACTTTGCCCTGCTTTGTTATAGTGGTAAACAGGTTCAAATCACAGGAGCCCACTTCGTGAGCTGTTTGACATTAAGCCAATTGTCTAAATTCTCTGAGCCTCAATTTTTACTTACATAAAATAGGGATGATAATATCTAAATCATGAGGTTTGCTTTGAGATTTAATCATACGATTCATAATTATCACGAATATGTGTGATTTATAATATGCCAGGCACTGTTCCAACAATTTTCTCAACAATAACTTGTTTAGTTTTAGCTACTAACATTAGCCGCATATTACAGACCTGAGACACAGAGATGTTGTGAGACTTGGCCAAGGTTGCACAGCTCATAAGTGGAATTGCTTGACTTTGACCCCATGCAGTTTGTTCCAGAAGGCAAGCTCCAGACTGCATGGCTCTAGTGTCTCCCTTTTAGGTTCAAAAGGTGAAATAATGTCTATGAAGTCCCTAGTGTACTACCAGGTACATAGTTAAAAGGCAATGAACAGTGATTATGGTTATATTTAGCCTCCAAAAATTTTTTCAGAGGTTACATCTATTATGATGTAAACATTAGCATCATTCATGTCATTTTCTATTTCAAGATAGATTTTTTTCGAAGATTTTATTTATTTATTTGTCAGAGAGAGAGAGACAGCATGCACAAGCAGGGGGAGGGGCAGAGGGAGAAGCAGACTCCCAGCTGAGCCCGATGCGGGGCTCGATCCCAGGACCCTGGGATCATGACCTGAGCCAAAGGCAGACGCATAACCAACTGAGCCACCCCCAGGCGTCCCTCAAGATAGGAGATGTTTTTTAAAATTGCGAAACTAGAAGAATCACTCAGAGGTACATCAAAAACATCTTCCATACCCTGATCCCAGTCAACAAAACGTGAAGCTTGAATTTTCCAGTGGAGAAGCACATGGGTATAGAGAAGGTAAAAGTAGTGAATAATTACTGTGGTTCTACTGCATGTGATAAGTCCTTTCGTGTGTGTTACCTAATTCAAAATTCACAAATAGCAGGGGAGGGGTTGTAGTGCCCAATTTAAAGATAAGAAAACTGATTTATATTGTAGTGCCCAATTCAAAGATAAGAAAACTGAGTCATTAGATTTATTAGTATCATTACAGGAATACCTTGGAGATACCGCAGTTCACTTCCAGACCACTGCAATAAAGTGAATATTGCAATGGAGCTCGTTCAAATGAAGTTTTCAGTTTCCCGGGGCATATATGTAAAAGTTAGGCTTACACGATACTGTAGCCCATTAAGTGTGCAATAGCATTATGTCTAAGAGAGCAATCTACATACCTAAATTAAAAAATGCTTGATTGCCAAAAAATGCTAACCGTCATCTGGGCTTTCAGTAATCACTGATCACAGATGTCCATAACAAGTATTGTAATAATAATGAAAAAGTTTGAAATATTGCGAGAATTACCAAAATGTGGCAGAGACATGAAGTGAGCAAGTGGTATTGGAAAAACAGCACCGAAAGACTTGCCCCAATGTGCAATATCTGTGAAGCGCAATAAAGCAAAGTGCAATAATATGAGATGTGCCCACAGTAACGTATCTACTGAGTAACGTTAACGAGTAGAGTCTTAAGTCACCCAGCCTGGAACCGAACACCCCATGCAACTCACCCTGATTTTTCCACCACACCCAACTTAAGAGCAAAGCTTATTCAGTCTTTGCTTCCCCCCTTGGTTTCAGATACTACGCAGAAATCTCCACAGGACGGTGCAAGAGGTGCAGCAAGAGCTGCAAGGCATGCCGGGGCCCGCAGCCCACCGACTGCCTGTCTTGCGATTCGTTTTTCTTTCTACTCCGCTCCAAGGGAGAGTGTCATCGCAACTGCCCAGAGCATTACTATGCGGAGCAAGGCACACGGACGTGTGAGAGATGCCACCCGACCTGCGACAAATGCAAAGGTGAGGGTGTATCTGTCATTTTGCCTGTGTAGATGGGAAGATGAGGATTCCTTTCTGCCTGGCCCCTCTGTTTTCATCACCTGTAGAGCTTTCTCTCCCTTGCCAACCCGGCCAATCCTCTCCAGCATCAGCACCTCTCCCCTGGGCCGCCCTGCACTATCCTGCCGTCTCTTCAGACCCTCCCAGCCTTCCAGGCCCAGATACAGGCATCGTCTCCCCCAGGAGGTGCTTCCCACCTGCTCTGTCCTCTGCTTGTTGAACTTGGAATCTGCCTAGGGAGTTTTATTTTTGTTATTACAACAGCTACTTAAGATGTCTGTCTTTAGCTCTCCCAAGCTCCATTCTCACTTTCCTGAGACCGACTTCTCTGTCCCAGAGAACCCTAAAATCAACATGTCCCAGAGTAAACACAATCTGGGTTTCCTTTGATAGTCACTCTTTCTGTTAATGGACCTGCTATCCAACCAATACCTTAACGATATCCTCCCCTTGCCTCCTGCCCAACCCACCTGCTCTCCAACAAAGGTAAACTTCAAGATCTGCTGATTTTCTCTCCTAAGCATTTCTGTACTCAGATCTCTCTCATTCTTACTATCCTCGTTCTCCATTCTCAGCATCTCTCAGTCAACTTTCTGAAGTACCAGCAATGTGACTTCGACTCTGGTCTTGCCACCCCCAGGTCATCCTGTACAGTACTGTCAGAGTGATCAAAAATTCCCATCTGCTGGGCATGGAAAGATGATCAGTGTGAATTATTCTCAACATTGAAGAAATACCTCCTACAATGTTTTAATTGTTAAAACTTATTAGGTTAATATTTGTAGTTGGTATGGTACATTTCTGCTATCCTTTTCAAAATTATCTTGGCTATTTCCAGCCCCATTTTTTTTTAAGATTTTATTAATTGATTTGACAGAGAGAGAGAGCACAAGTAGGGGGAACAGCAGACAGAGGGAGAAGCAGGCTCCTCGCTGAGCAGGGAGCCCAATGTGGGTCTTGATCCCAGGACCCCGGGATCATGACCCAAGCCGAAGGCAGCCACTTAACCGACTGAGCCACCTAGGCGCCCCTCCAGCCCCTTTTCTATATAAATTTTATACACAGTCACATTTCATTTAAAAAAAAAAAAAACCCGGGGCACCTGGGTGGCTCAGTCGGTTAAGCGTCTGCCTTCGGCTCAGGTCATGATCTCAGGGTCCTGGGATGGAGCCCCGCATTGGGCTCCCTGCTCGGCGGGGAGTCTGCTTCTCCCTCTGCCCCTCCCCCTTCTTGTGTTCCCTCTCTCGCTGTCTCTCTCTGTCAAATAAATAAATAAAATCTTTAAAAAAATAATAATAAATAAATAAATAAATAAATAATCCCTTGGATATTAACTGGCTTTAACTGAATTTATTTGGGGGAGGGGAAATCCATCTTTATGATCCTGAGTCATCACATCTATGAACATGGTATATCTCTGCAATCTATGCATTTACTTTTTGTCCTTCAATAAATTTCCAATAATTTTTTCTTATTTTTAAAAGGTGATTAAAGTCTTTCCCCAGCCAGTCCTTTTAGCTTATGACCTTGCCTCTCTTTCCATGTACTCTAGAACCTAGAGCCACTCAGCAGCTACCAAACACGTTATACTCTTTCATGCCTCTGTGCCTTTTGTCTATGTGTTTCCTCTTTCTGGAGAATGACGCCATAGGCAACTCTCAACTTAGAAGACCCAGCTTGGGTGTCATCTCCTCCGGGAAGCTTTTCTTAGTCCTCCCAGCAATGTTCTTCCTTCTTCTGGTTCTGTAATATACTGCTTTATCATAGCTCTTTTTACATTAATTTTAATTAATCATGTCCATCTCGCCTAGTAATTGTGAGACCCTCAGGGCTAGGATTGTGCCACATTTACTTTGTATACCCTGTTCTAGTCTAGACTGTAACACATAGTGAGTGCTCATTTAGTGTTTGCTGAATGAATGAATGAACACAAAACAAACAAATCCTAAAGTCTTTTTGCAAATTGGAAAATTCTCCATTATTATATCTCCAAATGTTGCTTCTCCACCCTTTCCTCTAATCTCCTTTTCTGGAATTCCTTATTTAATGTCACTCAGACTTTCCTGATCTCTATGTCTCCTACCTACTGTTTTATATTTCTATTTCTTTGACTCTCTGTGGTTTATACTAGGTTAATTCATCAGTACTTTATTCCATTTCTCTAATTTGTTCTCTGTGTTTAGTCTAAAGTTCAGCCCATCTATTATTTTAGGGTTTTTTTTTTAATTTAAATAACTTACTTTTAAATTTTTAAATTATTTCTTTATACCCATCTCTTTTTGTTTCATATCTTCCTATTTGTATTACCTAATTTACCCTTTCTTTATAGGTATTATGTCTTTTTATTTTTTGAATATCTTTAATATACTGACTTTTAAAACTTTGTCAAGCTTCTCTATAAAATTGAAGTTTTTTTTTTATTTGAAGTAAATTCGTGTTCTAATTGTTGATTGTGTTTGTCATCTTAGTGTTCATTTTCTCCATATATTTTGGATTTTTGGTCCTGAGTTCCTTCTGAATGGGAAATTTCATCCTTCATTCCCCCCCTTCTCTCTCTCTCTTTATCCTTACTCCTTTCAGCCTAGCAGTATTTTGGGTTAACTCTACCCCTTCCTCCCACCCTGAAACTCAGTCCAGAAATAGGACATCCCAGCATTCCTGAAGGGGATGCTGATGACAATGAAGATCCCATCAGCAACCCAACTGGCAGCCCCGGAGAGTTCCTGGTCAGGGGGTGAGGTATATAGGGGCAGTGTCCCCCTTTGACTCGTTTTAAGATCTCAGCCTGGATTTTAGCCCACATCTAACATGAAACACTTTTAGTTCCTATTATGATAGAAAAGTTAAACTCACAGCCACCATCCCCTATATCTAGACCCAGAGCAAAGCAGGTGAGCAGCATGAATCAGACAACTATTATATATTTATATTCCTTTTCTGGTCCAAAGCGATTTCATCTTATTTTTGAGCCCACCTAGCCTTTTATTTATTTATTTTTGGTTCTTTTTATGTTTATTCTACCATTTCAGTATGTGGAGTGTATGGGTTAGGTCAAAATCTGAATTCACATATGATTTTTTTTTAATGTATGTGTGTTATAATGGATAATCAGATTCTTAGAAAAGCATTATGCCCTAAACTATCCTTCTGCTAATACAAATGCCTAGGGGGTCAGTATATTTTAGAGTGTTTGTTTTGGTTTTTTGGTACTTAATACTTTTAAATGAAATAAGCAAAGGTCAACCTGTTAGAGCCTGCTTCTAACCTTGCTTCCTTTCCCTTCCAAAATGATTCATCTTGGAGCAGTTAGTTGACCACATAGAAACATCAAGAATGGAGATGAGAAATCAGCTCCTTCCCCACACTGGGAGAAGATCATCAGCCACCCTTGCTGTATACCCACTAAACTGACCTTCCTAAGTACTATCTTGATGATATTTTAAAATAACTTCTCCCCAGGTGCTTCTCAAGTACACAGGAATATAGTCTTCTCCAGACTGAAAGTGGCTTCCATTATCACTTCTGTCTTAATGCCCCCAAATCTACTTCTTTCCCAAGTGGTTTTCCTGAGCTCTAGTTCCATACATCCAATTGCCTGTTAATCTAATGAGTTGCTCAATACCTCGAACTTGAAATGTAAATGCATTTTTCTCCAGCCCACCTCACCCCATCCATAGACACCTTTTTCTATGCTCCCCATCTTGATGAATGGTTCCACCACCTACCCAGTTGCCTGAGGCAGGAACCTGGTCATTACCTTCTTATCCTCCTGTCTCAACCCTCACATTCGATTTGTCCTCAAGTCCTGTCAAATCCATGCCTATCTCTTAATTCCCTCTCTCCTCTCTTTGCTTTGTGGTATTACTGCCTTAGTTCAGACTTGTATGTCCCCTTACCTGAGTTATTCACCAATCTCTAATTGACTTTCTTACTTCCAGTATTAGCCACTCTATAACCAACCAGTCCTCCATTATGTTCTCAGATTGATCTTTCTATGTGACAAATACCATAATGATACTTCTCTGCTTAAAAATGACTCTCCGGGGTGCCTGGGTGACTCAGTTGTTAAGCATCTGCCTTCAGCTCAGGTCATGATCCCAGGGTCCTGGGATCGAGCCCCATGTCGGGCACCCTGCTCAGCGAGAAGCCTGTTTCTCCCTCTCCCGCTCCCCCTGCTTGTGTTCCCTCTCTCACTGTGTCTCTACCAAATAAATAAATAAAATCTTTAAAAAAAAAAGATTACTCAAAAAAAAAAATGACTCTCCATTGGGGGCGCCTGCGTGGTTTAGTCAGTTAAGCATCCAATTCTTGGTTTGGGCTCAGGTCATGATCTCAGGGTCCCGGGATCAAGCCCTGCATCAGGCTCTGACTCAGCAAGGAGTCTGCTGGTGCCTCTCTCTCTGTTCCTCCCTCATGCTCGCTCATGTTCTCTCTCTCAAATAAATGATACAATCTTTTTTAAAAAATGACTCTCCTTCCATTGATTTTGGGATAGAATCTTAACTTAGTAACTCTGCATATGAGGTTCTTTATCCTGGGACTCACCTCACCCCTCACCACCTTCACCACCTTCTAAATCCAGGCAAAATTAGTTTCTGTAAACCTGAGCCAACCTTGCCCTTTCTCCTCTCTGAATACTTTCTCCAGCCTACTGTGCATGGCTACCTCTTTCTAATCCATTACAGTCAATATTTCCTCTACAAAGCCATCCTTAATCCCTCTATTTTGTGTTCCTTTAGTACTCTGAATTCATCCATCTACTTAGTTATTCAACAAATGTTTCTCCTGCAGTATGGCCCAACAAGGATTCAACTGTGAACAAGGCAGTCAGGGCCCTGGAGCCCAGAGGGTATATTTTATGTTATTTATTCTTTCTCTCTCTCTCTTTAGACTGAGGTCCTCAAAGGCACAAATTAATATGTCTCACTCACCTTTGTTTTTTGTTTTTGTTTTTGTTTTTT